CTCCCCGGCAACCGTCGGTGCCTGATGACGTTTGCCCGCTCCCGGCGCGGTTCAGCAGGCCACGCCCCCGTGCGGCGCGAGGCCGCTCCCCGGCGCGCAGCGATGACGCCTCCTTAGCAACGCCTCACGTTGCTAGGGGCAGCCATGGCGGAGGCGCCCGTGCAGGACCCAGCCCGGCCCTGGCCGCCGCCCGCGGGCGCTTACGCGGAGGAGCGGGGGCTCTTCCAGCTCCTGCAGGTGAACGGGGACCGCCCGCCAGCCGCTCCGCTGCTCGGGGTGGCCGGCCGGGGACGGGGGAGGCAAGGGACGGGCATCGCTGCGGGCTCCTGTGCAGCCTCACAGGCGCGTGTCCGACCGCGTGAAGTTTTTCCTGTAAACAAGGATTTTGTGGTCCAGCTAACGAAATAATTTCTGTGTGGGTGGGGGAATTTTAGAGAGAAGCATAAACGTCCAACACGTGTCCGAATTAATGATGCCAAGCCTTTGCTGCTCTGCATCACATCCTTCAGCCAGGCAGCTTCTTCACCCCGCTGGCTGTGCCAGGCAGGGGATGTTCATCAGAGAGAAGGCTGAGAAAATGTCAAATCCAATTTCAAAGAACTTGTCCAAGATTCATGTCTGAGAGATTAGAATCTAAGGAGTCCTGAGTGTTCCCTGCTCCCACGGCAGTGCTGGCCGCAGGGAGCAGCTGGAGCTGCAGCTGCTTCTGTGGAGATATGAGCAGAGTGGAAACAGCAGCAAGGGACAGTCAATGCATCTGTGGCAGGATGGCAGCAGGGAACTCTTCAGAAAGTGGATTCAGGACAGATCTCTAGTGTTCATTTCATTGTATTTAATCAGCCAGGATGTTAATGCTGTTCAGCAGATGATGCAGGAGCTTTGATCCTTTTATAGGCGTGTTTGTTTGGTGGCATCCAAGGTGGTTTATTTTTCAATCGAGGGCCTTAGTACTTGTACTTCTGGAATTCTCTGTCCTGCAACTGTACAGTATTTTTGTTACTAATGGAGATCTCAGTTGCATAGTGCCCAGCAGGTGGGGTTTGGGAATTGGGTGTGTCCTTCTTGGATGTGGCACATACGGGACTCACTTTAGGCAGGAGGTGCCTCTTCATGTATGTTATCCACTCCCTCATGGTGTCTATAACGATGGGGATGAGGCTCACCACCCCTCCATAGCGATTCCTTGCTTCTTCCAAGCTCAGGTAGTTCACAACACCATGGGGGTAGCTGTGGGACAGAGGGAAAGGATTGGCAGAGGAGCTCCAGCAGTGCAGCCGTGGGAGCCACCCTCAGACTGCCCATGGAAGAGCAGGATTGCACAGCCAGCCCTGTGCCAAAAACGGAAAAGCACAGCATGAGTCCTGCCAAAAATCACCCTGGCATAGGTCTGGCAGTCTTGGAGAGGACGTAGTGACACCTGCCCTGCAGAAATGAGCTCTGTGCAGAGGAGCAGCAGGAGGAAGGAGCAGGTAACCTGCCCGAGCACTGCACAGAGCTCCGGGCGCTCTCGTGCCCTGCCTTGCACCAGAAAAAGGATGGACAAAAAAAGCAGCACTCTGTTATGGATGGACACTGGCAGTGGTTTCCCAACAGCTGGAACAGGAACCTGGGCAGCCCCTTGGACCCTGAGTAAAGGCAGGAAGGTGCTGTGACAGAAGTGGTGGAGAAGCCAGGTGGGAATGTGCAGTGTCAGTCCTCCAGCAGTGACAGCCAAATGCCAGGAGCTGAGCTGGGCTGAGCTGAGTTGGGCTGAGGTGGGCTGAGCTGAGCTGAGCTGAACTGAGCTGGGCTGAGCTGAGCTGAGCTGAGCTGAGCTGAGCTGAGCTGAGCTGAGCTGAGCTGAGCTGGGCTCAGCTGAGCTGAGGAGGCACCTACGTGGCTCGGATGGCTGTGAGGTCGTTGCTGTCGTTGAGGAGCACTTTGCACTTCTCCACAAGGCCGTTGGACACGCTGTCCCCAGGATGCACCGTTCCCAGCTTCTGGCAGAGGTTGCGGAGATCGTTGCAGATGGAGATGAACATGTTGAGGATGCGCCTGTCTGTGGCATTGTAACAGTGGTGGTCCTTGTAGCACTGTACCTGCAGCACGGGGGAAATAGCAGTGTTTCTGCAAACAGCATAATATTACACAACATCTCGGTGGGAAAATGTGGCTCAGTGCAGTGTCTGTCACAATCCTCTTCATTGCAATGAGCAAAGCCCTTCTGTTAGGGAGAGGCACACTTGGAAAAGACAACCAGCTCATTCCGTGTCCTAATGCTGACAGCAGCCTGGCTTTCACTCTGCCCTTGGCATCCATCTGGGATTTGTGCCCAAGTTCTGCTCTCTCAAATCCACAGTTCTGGTTTGATTTCAATTTTTCTTCCTCCCCCTCTGTCTCCAGGTGGTCTAAGTTTTACTTTTAAGTACACCATGCTATAAAATTTCCAGGACAATTCACTTAGCAGCCCAGAAAACCCCTTGCCCACTTGGGACTTGCAGCCCTCAATCCATCATCCTCCCTCTGTGACACAGCCATTATTTTTAATAAGCACCATAAAAAGATACAGCAGCACCAATACCAGGGGGAAGAGCCAGGCACGCTGGTTCCTCCAAGTTAAGGATTCCAGATTCCATGTGTGGCTGGGGAATGAGGTTTGGTTTGGTTGTTTTCCTGTACCCTGTGTTTCTGGCTGTGCCTCAGCAGTGTTAAACTAAACCAGAAAGTGCTGCTCAGCCATGAGAGTCCTTCTGGGATAACAGCAGGCCCTCACACAGGTGCTTCTCTCCCCGCATCTTCAGTTACACACAAACCTTACTGGAGAGGTTTTGTCCATCTTCCCTTCAGTAAAACCCTTTCTTCATCCCTGAACTGGCGCCAGGTGCACGCCAGCCCCGTGCTGGCCCTGTTCTCACGGGCAGGGAGCACTTTGTGCTGAATAATTTGTACCTGGACAATGGATGACACAGGTCTGACTGAGTCGTGGGCTTCCTCCCGGGTGTGTTCCAGTGCTCTGATAAATGAGAACTGCTGCTGCTGGAAGAGCTTGTAGTTCTCCTCGATCTTTCTTAGGGTCTCCACAACCTCATCCATGTTTTCTTATTTCTGGATCTGGGGGTGAAAAGGAGAGAAAGGAAGCTGCTTTTTTGGAAAGTATACAATTTTACCTCTCACCTAAGTTGGAGGTGTGTAGGTTACTGGAAAATTTAGATTATGAATAATAATGTAGTCATTGGCTTTCGCCAATTATTTTAATGTAGTATTTTTGGTAATCACTTTTTCAATGTTTTTGATAGAGTATTATTTGTCAGCCTTTGATGGTTAATACCCTAATCCCTGTGTAGATATATATTTTAGTGTGATAAATATAGTTTAGGCTCTTGCAAAATATTAAAATGCAGAGTATTACTGTGCATTATACCATTAACTGTTGCAGAAGTTAATGCTTTCAATTTCTAACATTGTGTATCACAATGCTGTGAATAACTCAGATAATTTTCTGAAACAGCTAATGTTGATTTAATGTACTTGTACTATCCTACAGATATCTTTTCTGTATGATAAGAAAACCTAGAAAAGAACCAGGTAAATAAATATCAAAGAAAGAATGCAAGGAGAATATTACCACTGTTCATTTGGCTATCAGTAATGGTCAGTAACAGAAAGGGTGGTCTTGTGTGGAAATAAAATACTTGAATTGAAAGTGCAGTATGGCATGTACCTTAAGATGGGTCAAGGGTCGAACCAAGCCAAAAGAATTCCCGGAACATGTAAACTCAAAGGAATGTTTGAATACGTGTAATCCTCATGAATATGCATTTGACCAATGCAATGAAATATAATGTAAGAATATTGTTTGAAGTTAACAGACATGGCTCTGGCAGTTGCCAAGCACCCGACGCCGTTATTAGTTTGTCCCTTACATCCTTTAGTAAACTTTGAAAATTTTAAAGAAAGAGACTAGTTTCTCCTGCTTAAAAAAAAAAAAAAAAAAAAGAAAAAAAAAGAAAAAGGAAAACTCAGGAAAACGAGGAGATTTATTGTGTGTAAGCCTGCAGGCCCAGAGCCCCAAGCAGTCAGTCACTGAGTTGGTAATGATGCTGCAAAAAGTGGCAGAGAACCCAGGGGGCAGCGCTGACAATCGGATGGTAATGATGCTGCAAAAAGTGGCAGAGAACCCAGGGGGCAGCGCTGACAATCGGATGCCTTAAACCCTGGCGGGCGTGCTGTAAAGATAACGCGGCAGTGCATCAACGGCGCGGCTGCGGCGGGCCCGGGGGAGCCGTGGCTCCTCTTAGGGCTGTAAAAGCATCGCCCCAGCGGCTTCCGCCCTCTCCCGTTAACGGAGCCGGCCGGGCTCCCCACCCCTCCCGCCGGGGCTGCTTTGGACCCTGCGGAGAGATCAGAAGCTGTCGGGGCGGCCTCGCCCGCAGCCCCGGCCCGCCTGACCCCTCAGCCCGTGGGCGCCGCCGGGAGCCCGCGCTGCGAGCGGGTCTCGCC